GGACTTAAAGTAAGCAATTTTTGGTTTAACCAGTCATGTTTTGCGTATTCATTTTTTTGCATAGCTGTTGGTGTAGCACAGTTGTGTCCTTTGCCTACCTACTTTTTCTCACTTTTGACACAATTCTAATATAATTTTTGGTACTGAAAATTGCAGTTTACGCAGAGCATTCAGCTGTACAATAAAGGTGCCACAGAACCAAAGGCTGTGAGCTCACGAGGCAGCAGTTGGCGTGAGATCCTCCGAGGTGCGGAGTCTAAAGACCAGTGGGTATTCTGCCAGGGATTCTCTCATGGAAATTTGGAGTTGTGTGCTGACTCCAGGTCATGACCACGGACGCTCAACATGTGGACACTACCTGTATAAACAGGAGAAGGTGAACAGAGAAACATTCATACAGTACTGGTGAAGACAGAGTCGGCAAATGGGAAGAACGACATCTGGAAGACAGGCCAAAGGTCAGGGCAGGTATTAAAGAAGTCCAGAAATAAAAGTGGGTCTGGAGCAAAGTCACAGGTGGGATCTGAGATGCATACATAAACACTGCTCAGAACGCTAGGGCAGTGGGGTTTTTTCTGGGGTTTTTTCAGCTTTTGGATACAGTGGAGAAGGATTAGAAAAAAAAAAACATGAAACATGCTCTGCCCAGGGTTGGACTTTAAGCCTATCATAATAGCAGTCCAACTGCCAACTGAAGGCGCTCTCACAGCAGGCCGACAATGCTACTGCTAATCGGGAGGCAGGGGCTTAGCATTGTCAGCCTGTAACAGGAAGTTATGTTACTAACAGGTTCTCCAGGCAAGAAACTTTGTAATAAATTCACAGAAAATGATTTGCCTAAAGTTCACCTAAAGACAAGTCCCAAATTCAGTTACTATGTAATACAGAAGCCTCATGAAGGAAACAATAATTCCTTTACCTTCCGATACTGAGCTACATCCTCCTTTTGTGTTGCACACACTCCCCCTCCCAAACACTGCAGCTTACAGTGGGAAGGTTTCAGGAACAGAGGCAGATCCAGACAGCAGTGGGCAGGGCTAGGTGTGGCCAAGTACTGACTGACAAGCTACAGACTTATGAATCAGTACTGATAGTCATACCCCCTACAATATCTTCTCATCTTGCTGTATAACAAGCAGACACAGCCTACATGAGAGTGGCAACTCTGCTCTGAGTTCAAGAGGCAGTGCAGCATTGTTGCCACCCCATCATAGGCACCTGCATAAGTGTAGGTGGACTTCACTGGCAGGATCAACAGGTATTTGTGGGACTTTGCAGGGGGACAAAGAGAAAACTGTAAGGTGCAGCTGTACTTATAATTATGGGAGGCCATAGTTCTACTTTACAAAAACTGTATACAGTGAGATATGATCCCAAATAGATTGGAAATTAGATTTGGGGTTTACATACACTTTGAGAACAACGATACAACAGCTCCAACTGTTGCTCACGTTTACTACCGTACAAGAAATATTTCAGCCCCAAAGTTACCTCGAACATACCTTCCAACTGTTCTATCATGTCATCACTCAATATCCTGATCAAAGCTATGAACAGTCAACCCATGTAGGATTCTTTACTTTTTTTTTAATTGAATTAATGAAGAAGCAATCAGACAAGTGAGTACATGTCTGATTGTTTTACATGTAGTTTTCAAATGTTGATTCATCAAAAAATTATTTTTGAATCAGTTCTTTTCCATTCAAATCTCATGTCAACCGAACGCTTATTGAACAGTATTTCAACATCATGAAAACATTGAAGGAAATTTATCAAAACTGGAGCAGTTGGTAATGGAAACCAATCAGCTTCTCTCTTTCATTTTCAAAGCTTAACTAAACAAACTGAAGAGAGAAGCTGATTGGTTACTATGAGCAACTGATTCAGATTCTGTCTGCTCCAGTTTTAAAAAATATCCCCCATTATGTTTTTAAAATGTATTCATTCATATAAGCACATGCATGGCTGATCACAACTGTTCACGTGTGAACATTTTATTTGGATGAGAAAATATCTTAGCAAATATACGCATGTTTGACAAGCTCATAAAAAAATATTGTCATTTTGCCCACACATTGTGCAACTTTTCCAAAGATAGTCACAAATAAAAGGGACACATACACTAATTAAGGTAGCATATGGGTTAAAGGCCCACTATTGTTAAAAAGTTGTATTCTGATAACTGATAATGTATGTAAGTAATACATGTAATGCCAGTATTTTTTCATATGTCTTTATCTATACTTTCTCTGCATGTACAAGCAGACCAAGCTGTCCAGCAGAAGAGACAGTGACATGGCCTGGGGTCCTGGGACATACTATAACAATGACAGGGGTGCTTACAACAGTCACACAATATTGCCATAGTTTAAATCTTCCTTAAAAAAAAAACTGCAACTTGTCAGTCAGTGGCTATTAACTGGCCACACACGTTTTAGGATCTCTGTGAAATTCCTCTTTGCGCTCTTATTTAGCAAAAATGATTTATTGCAAGAGTCTATGCTAAAGTGAATGTCCAGAAGTCCAGAATGTCCAGCCATACGCTTTTGTTTTTATTAATTTTCGGATTAATGTTCTGCTGATCTGCGGCATGTATTATCCCAGAAACGATCATGTGCCTATTTGTCTTAAAGGAGAACTATGAGGTGAGTGCTTTTCACTCACCTCATAGTTCTAGCCGACCTGTGACAGTGAGACTGTCACAGGCCGGCTCAGTAGATCGGGAGGTGAGCGAACACATACCGGCGTTCACTCACTTCTCGATCCTGTCACGGCTCTCTGCCGTGACAGGGGAGGGGATGGATTCCCCTCTCCCCGCTCCGATCTGCCAGCGCTGACTGGCGGAACGGACGGGGAGAGGGCGGGTACAGCTGGCTCTGCCTCTACATAGGCAGAGCCAGCTGTCACTCACGCAGCTGGGCGGATCTCGACATCGATGTCGGGAATCCGCTCCTGCTGTGGCGTCTCAGTATACCGCGAGCTGCAGCTCGCGGTATACTGAGTCTAGGGTGACGGGAGGACGCTAGTTTGTGTCCTCCCGTTACCCTAAGGAGAACTATGGGGAAAAGCCCTGACCCCATAGTTCTCCTTAAATTTTTTTTAGGTGTATCTTTTTGCTTTTGATTACTGCATTTCAATATTAAAATGAATTCAATACAGAGTTTATGATATGGTGTAGTATGGGGTATGTCATTAGTTAGACCTATTTTTATTAGTATCTCTCAAGCAACCAGAAACCATATTTATCCAGAATCTACCAATCCCTGTGGATGCCGGATAACAGTGAGTTTACTGTGTATAGTTTATTTATGTAGTAGAGTAGAAGTAAAGGGAAAGCTCGTTTATTAAACACAGACAGAAAAAAACCTCTACTCTATCCAAAATCAAAAAGTTTTGGCTCATACTGACATGTACAATGAATATTCAGATACTAAATATTATTGTTACATTTATTAACCACATACAGTTATCAGAATACAAGTTTTATTCCTGCAGTGTCCCTAAACAAACAAATAAAAACCAAATATGAACTTTGTTTTCCTTACTGGAAGGCTTCTTAGTGTATAAAACAAAATCTGTACTGAGAAAAGAGAACTTTATGAAGCTGACTGGGCAGTCATCATATCTACAAAGATCTGCCCATGGGCACAATACATGTGTATCCCTGTAGAATTCCTGTATCAGAGAAGTGCCTGGCACAAGACAGACTGGGATATGGCATAATACATGTACTGTATATCCCTGTGCAATTACTCTACCAGATGAATGCCTGGCACAGAACATACTGAGAGTGGCACATTACATGTACAGCATGGTACAATTCCTCTACCAGAACAGTGCCTGGCACAGAACAGACTGGAACAACAATTATATAAAACAGACTTGGTAGCTATCATATCTTTCATGGTAATCTACAAACAATCTGCTCGTGGGCTCAATATATGTACATCCCTGTAGAGTACATGGCACAATACATGTACATTACTATACAATTCCTGGACCAAAGAAGACCCTGGTATAGGACAGGGTGGAAGATGGCACAATACACGTACATCACTGTACAGTACATGTACAGTCTGGCACAGGACATGCTGGAAGATGGCACAATACATCAACATCACTGTACTAGAAAAAAGCCTGGCACAGGCAGACTGGAAGATGGTGCAATGCATGTACATCCCTGTACCAGAAAAATGCCTGGCACAGGAATGACTGGAAGATGGCACAATACATCAATATCACTGTACTAGAAAAAAAGCCTGGCACAGGACAGACTGGAAGATGGCACAATGCATGTACATCCCTGTACAATTCGTGTACCAGAAGAATGCCTGGCACAGGACAGACTAGAAACTGGTACAATACATGTACATCCCTGCACCAGAAGAATGACTGGCACAGGACAGACTAGAAGCTGGTACAATACATGAACATCCCTGCACAATTCCTGTACCAGAAGAATGCCTGGCACAGGACAGACTAGAAGCTGGTACAATACATGTACATCCCTACATCCCTGCACAATTTCCGTACCAGAAGAATGCCTGGCACAGGACAGACTAGAAGCTGGTACAATACATGTACATCCCTGCACAATTCCTGTACCAGAAGAATGCCTGGCACAGGACAGACTGGAAGATTGTACAATATATGTACATCCTTGTACAATTCGTGTACCAGAAGAATGCCTGGCACAGGACAGACTAGAAGATGGTTCAATACATGTACATCCTTGTACAATTCGTGTACCAGAAGAATGCCTGGCACAGGACAGACTAGAAGATGGTACAATACATGTACATCCCTGCACAATTCGTGTACCAGAAGAATGCCTGGCACAGGACAGACTAGAAGATGGTACAATACATGTACATCCCTGCACAATTCTTGTACCAGAAGAATGCCTGGCACAGAACAGACTGGAAGATTGTACAATTGCATTTCCTCTCCTCTGATATGCAGCCCCATCGGGGATCAGTGTAATAAGTAGTTTCTCTCACCCTTTATTTCCTGGGCCAGTGCTTGAAAGGTCGGCTTGAAATGTTGGCAGTGCCCACACCAGCTGGCAAAGAACTGGGCAAACCAGGCGCTGGACGAGTTCAGCAGGATGGAATCAGCTCCGTTAGCCAGGGACACCACCAAATCATTCGGGCCATACAAGTGAGCCTGTGCCGGGGCCACAGCCAGCAGCACAAAGCTCAGCAATCCAGGGACACAGAGCCAGCTCAGACCCGGCATCATCACTGCTCTGAGAAGAACTGTGCCAGGGACGAGACACTGACATCCCGGGGGTGGAGGAGACACACTGAACCTGCCCACATCGGGAGAAGTCGATCCTGCCTACTGATACATCATCATCATCCCTGGAGAGAAACATCCACAGAGCACACACCACAGCAGACACAGCCAGACACAGCTAGACTGACAGCTTTACATTGTATATACTTCATTCCAGGAGAGACAGCTCCAGAGACAGACATCACCTATAGGGATCATATATATATATATGGGAGGAGAGACACAGCTGGGACATAGACCGACAGCTTTACATACTTCATCCCAGGAGAGACAGCTCCAGAGACAGACATCACCTATAGGGATGCTATATATGAGAGGGGAGACACAGCTGTGTCATAGACCGACAGCTTTAGATTCTATATACTTCATTCCAGGAGATACAGCTCCAGAGACAGACATCACCTATAGGGATCTTATATATGAGAGGGGGGACACAGCTAGACAGAGCTAGACTGACAGCTTTACATTGTATTTACATAGCAGGGAGGGGAGAAATAGTTGGCTTTGCAAATAAGAAATAAGCCACTCCAGAGGGATTGTGAATAAGAAACAGGACCTCTTTCAAAATCAATAGGGCCACTTATTATAAGGCTAGAAACCAAAGTCTGCACGGCACTACAATCTGCACTACTGTATGTGTCAACCAACAATGAAAGTAAGGCAGGAGGTTCTTTAGAAAAGAGGTTCCTTTACCCCCGAAATGAAGAATGCCTTTGCCTCCTCTCTCTTTTCACCAGGGTCTGACTCTGCTCTCTCTCATCATTCTATATTGGGTACTGTATGTATTTATGAACATCAGCTGCTATGTGACTAAGTGCTGCTCGTCTCACATATGTACATGCATGTATTCTTTTGAATATAGATTGATAATAACAGTGTAGCAAATACTTTTGCTGTATTATGCCTGATGTGATATGACATATCTGGATATTTGTACCGATTGTACTGTAGTACTTATACCATGGATACAACTGTATTGCAAAATCATTCTTTGTATGTGGTGTGCTCACTCTATATATTTACAATGATTCCACTTTATGATGGCTGGGATACCTTATACCGTATCAGTTACAATGTGATTTTACAAGCTCAGCAGAAATTCCTTTGGAGTTACTAAAACTATGCAATGTGACAATCTACCCAAACAATCTATTTGTCTTGTTTTCAGGCAGTCTCATGCACTGCAATTGTACAAAACGAAAATAGTCCATATCTCCCAACATTCTGAGATGAGAAAGAGGGACAACTTTCAGCACAATGTATTTAGGTAATGGACACATCCCTGCTATGCCCCGAGATATGTGGACCATTAAGAATTTATATGCCAAAAATGATTCCTATATGCCAGAATTGTTTTTTTTCCACCATTACTTTTCCTTTATATTGGCTTTTCAAAATAGCAAACTTTGTTCTTTGGATGAAGGGGAGATTTTTGATTTGCTTCCTTTCTGCTAATGCAGATATAGCTACTACTATAGGCATGAAAATGGGGGGAGGAAAATCACACGTAGCCTTAGTAGAAAAAGAGAGCAGAGGGAGAAAACTGGACCAACCCTGTACATATTGCTGGAAATTATCTCTTGCCTGCACTGTATTAGTGCCAAGTGTTTACACCCTGCATAATACATAAATGTTTATACCACGTATTGGAAAGACAACTCCTCAATTATGTTTCTACCTTAATGGCCACCTTTGGTTTCCAGATCTGCAAGCAACACATTAAAATCTGCACAAGATGCTGACCTCACCCTATATATTAATTATCATTATTATTAACAATAATTACTTGGTATTGCTGGCAGGACTTGCTGGAACTTCTAGGTCAACCAGAACCCGAAATAGGTAGATGTGAGAAGGTTTTTATTTTGTCACTTATACAGTAGGTCATAGATTTTCACATCTGACACCCCAGCTCTGGCAAACTCAGACACACATACCCACTAAAGCTGCTGGGTGTCTGTAAAGTTGATGCATAATAAGGAATGTGCAGCACAGTGTACAAAATAAGGCAGTGTGGAATAGGGAATGTACAAGCATGATAAACAAAATGAGGCAGTGAGGAATAAGGAATGTACAGCATGGCATATGGCATGAGTCGATGTGGAATAGTGAACATATAGCAAGGAAATTGGCATTAGGTGGTATGAAATAGCATTAATTAAGTGAAATAATGATCATACAACATGACATACGGAATGAGGCGGTGTGGAATAGGGAACGTATATCATGGCATATGGTGCGTACTAGCAGAAATATTTTTGTACCTTAAAAGAATGATCCCGGTCCCAGATCTCCATCAGCATGCACCCATGATTGATTGCAGTGACAGCTTAGCTGATCAGTCCACTGTTTGGGGCCCCAAGAATGAGAAGAGGTTTGCGCCTCTTTAGTTATAATGTGCCCCATTCAGCTGATGGCTGAGGTCACATTTAAACAAAGAGCCAGGGCTGTGGAATGCTTATACCACTCACTTCCCCTGCCAAACTTTACATTAGATGATGTCTTCAGACAGAGCCTGGCAAACGAAGTGAGTAGTGTAACTTGCTCTGCTCTGGTTCTTTGTTTACACTTTTATAACACGAGCGATAGGTGCACTGTTGGTCACTGTGCTGACAAGAGGTCTGAACGGAGCAAAGCTTAACTAAAGGGACACACTGCACCACCATCCCAGAGTGGCACAGTGGCACACTCCCCCATCACATGGCGCCCAGGGCATATGCCCTGCCCGTCATACCCTAGATACACCACTGGGGTAAACATGAGACAGAGCTGTATTTAGGCATCATACAGCCTGGGGAACCCCTAAATGATGGCACCCCATTGAAAGCCCCTCTCCCACTTTGTGTGTTGTGATTGTATACTACATACTAGATAATTGGGCTCTCTTAGCTGTAAATAATACAGTAATTAGAAAAGGTTATGGTGCACATATTTACTTACAGCACTGTGACTCAGTTAGCTCTATTGCCTATCAGCACAGCGGCCTTGGATTCTCTCCTTAGTAGGGATATTATTGGAATGGAGTTTCTGTGTTTCTTCTGCTTTCTTCCCAAATCACACTAGAAGGCTGACTGGCTTCCATCCAGGAATGGGTGTGATGCGCCTTTGCACTGCATAGTAAGGCACTGCATAATTTGTTGGCACATTGTAAATACAAAAAAATAATAATTAGATATATTACTAGATACTGGTGTGAATCCATCTTGCATGTTTACATACTGTATATAAACTGGTTCTACAAGCATCTTCAGAGCCGGCTGGTTCCCATCCATGAATTACTGTACAGTGAAAAACTAACAAAACAGTATATATGAAAAACCATTTTTGTTATGTTTATCCTTTTTCTGCTTGTGGTGGAACAAAAAAAAGAGAGATTTTCATTTTGAAGCAAATGTATAAATAATTACATGAGCAAATCTTGTACAGACTAACATGTTTCTGATTATTATTGCTGTAAGAATCCAATGACCTCAGGACACAATGACGTTACTGGTTCTCTGTGATATTGTTTGTGTTCTTTCCATTGTCTTTAGGTGATCATGTTGTTTATTTGTAGAGGGTTCCTGCTTTTTTCTGTCTTGCTGTGTATGTCCTAAGGGGGGAAAGGTCCAGGGTTGATTGTGCTCTGTAATGTTTTCACAAGAACAAAGTCCTTTTAACTGCATTGGGCAAGCTGTGTCATTAATGCTGATGCTGAGTACAGATGAGCAAACCAAATTGTGTGAAGCGAAATTCAACATGGATTGTGCCATTTAGCTTGATGTGGATATATAGAAACTTTTGGAGCTTTACAGCAGAAAAGTTTAAACCATTTTTAGTTTTTGGTTTCAGCTGGTACCCCGTGTTACTTTCTTTGCCATGCTAACCCCCCTTGCGCCGACCTATCAGTTTCCACAGTCAATGAGGAGGGACTGTGCCATCCAACAAATCCACCATATCAGAGTGATGCAAGAATAAAGCAGTCACTGTTTTCTGAATGCACTGGAGCTGCACACTTTGGGGTTGATTTACTGAAGGGAAATAGACTGTTCACTTTGCAAGGGAAATTCCTCTTATCTTAGTGAATGTGTTGAAAATTCACTTTGCAAAGAATACTCAATTATGTGTGACGGAAATCCTCATTCATTTAACTAAGTGAAAATTCCCTTGCAAAGTAAGGGAATTTTAGTAAATCAACCCCTTCTTCTCAGTGTCATTAGGTGTCAGTACATTAAGATTTTCTGTGCTCTCACTAAAGTTGGCCATACACCATTGAAACTATTTGTTTTCTAAAGGTTCGTCCGATTTTGTTATAGTTGATGGGGTTTAAAGCAATGATCAACTTTGACCGTAGTGACAAAAATCAGAACAGGATGAAAACATTTTCTTAATTGAAATAAAATTCTAACAGTGAATGTGGTTTTTGTTTGAGAAACTCCATTCATTCCAAAATCGATTGCTAAAATCAAATGAAATTTCGTATGACTTTCGTCAAGTCTCTGATGGCATTATTGTATGTTCTGACCAGATTTTCCATATGAAATCTACCAGTGTGTGGCCAGCTTAAGAGACATAACATCATCGTCCTTTATCACAGTTGAAGGCATCCATTGTATTTGTTAATTGCCAATGCTCAGTCCTTGCTGTCAGTAGAGCTCCTTACTGAGTGGCCCATGGTGGTGAGTGAGATTCAGGTCCAGTCAGCGACTTAGGGTCAGAGTTAGCAGATGTAAATGGGACAGAGTCCTCAGATTAAAGTGTATCTCTAGCTAAACGATGTATGGATAGAGTAGGAAATGGTTAAAATCTATGTAAGTTGTGTTTTTTTTTTTTTACTGTATTTTGTGTACTGATGGGGCAATTTCCCTTTACTTCATGCCCCCAAGACACAATATGAAGTTAGCCGAAATGTATTTATTACAGGCATTTATATAGTACCATCAATTGACACAGTACTTTACATACTATTTAAAAGTAAACATTGCACAGAACACAGCCCTGGCACATGAGTAAGTAACATGCTGGGGTGGAGGTGTTCG